TATTATAAGTTACTTGTCGATTTGAATCCTCGCAATCTGCAGATCCTTCATAATATCTTGTTATTTCCTGAGTATTATTTTCGACAGCTTTAATATATCCAGTGAATTTTATTGCTTTAGGATTCTTTTCATCTTTGAATCTAATAAATGTTTTTTGAGTATCATTATTTTGTTTACTATGTTGTTCAATTGCCTTTTCCAATGTTATGGATGAATCACTTGGTCCATAATATACTGGAGCAATTTCTACTTTTGCGGATTTTTCATTAAAGGTAAGTCCATATAAACTCCATGGGCATACTTCGTTGTTATTATTTACCAACTTTTTTCCATTTGTATCAATCATGCACCAATGAATAATTATATTTTCATGAAGATTTTGCACAGAATTGTTTTTAATAAGTTCTTTTACTTTCAATACAACTGTATTTCCATACCAACGCTTGACATTAATATTATAAAGTGAAAAGTCATTTTGTGACTTATTCGTAAATGAAGTTACAAGTACAGAGTCAGTATAAATTCCTTCAGTTTTCAAATATATGTCAGCTGGAATGCTATTGATCTCAAGCTTTCCATAGGAAATTTTGATGTCTTTGTAATTATTGTCACAGTGTTCTTCCGATTTAGCAAGCACAAACCACAATATTTTTGTTGTATCTTTATTTAATCTTTTAAAAAAGAATTATTTAAATTATTAAACATAGTAATATATACATACATATATATATATATACAATTTACACACCTTATATTATCACTTTTATGAATGAAGGAAACACATCTATGTTGATCAATATGATCAAATGTAACGATTACTTCTTGAACTCTTTCCCAAGATTTATAATTATTCCTCTTTACAACATTTCCAAAAATATGATAATTATTATCAGTTAGTGGTCTTGGAAATTCAATAATTAATTTAGATTGATTATCCTGAGTCAGTGAATTTTCTCCATTAAAAACAATATGATAATTACTATCATCAAGATCCATTTTATAGATTGGTCTCCAATTTTCGAAAGAAATAATTCTCCAATTGGCAAGGTTATCTTTAAGAGAGTTATACCAACAACCAATTTGTTTTTGATTAATAGCTTCATTATCATTACTAAAAAATGATGATGTATCAATATTGTATTTTTCATTCCATTCTGTTAGGAGATCGTCAACTTTTTCCTGAAGAGAATAATGATTATTTTCTTCAAAGTTAATTTGCTGTGAATTAATAACGTTTATAGAATTACAATCTTGTTCATATGATCTTGATAAAACCCCACCAACAATAAGAGTTTTTGGTAATAAATTTCCATAATTATCTTCAAATACTTCAGAAAGATTTTTATATGGTTGAAACCTTTCAGAAGGCTGATGTGTTGCATCTAAGTATGGCTCTGAAAGTATAATACTTGATAAATCAAAGGAAATTTCTGCTGCAAGAAATTTAATTTGACAAAAAATTTTCTTTGAAAGAGGGTCTTTGAAATGTTGGAAGTCCTCTGAAGATTCATATAATGATGAAAAACAATCAATAACAGGGGTTTCATTAAGGTTTAATTGGTCCCCCTTTTTTAATGCTATATTATTCTCCAACAAATAAGCTATTTTTTTGGTTTTAGGCTGTGCCAATAAGACAGCAACTTGATTTATCGGGGTGATTTTGGGTTCTCTCAAAAATTTAAAAGCGATCTTTATTCCATTTATTAATTTTGAGCTCTGTATAAGTGTACTATATCGCAAAGAAAGTTCATTAACCCAATCATATGCATGGGATAATAATGAAGGTTTTGATAATGACAACCACTCTGAAAAACTTTTTTGTTCGATTTCAGAGGGAAGTTGTGGAATTAATGCTGGAAGGGTTTTATTGATAGATTGCAAGGAAAAGCATTCAGCTATCTGCTCTTTTAAACTATCATCCAA